AACTGATGTAAAAGTGTTTTTGAGACACGTTTTTGATCGGAGTCCAGGAAACTGTTGAAAGTAACCACTGGTATTTTCGTTAACGTGATCATGGCAAGTTACGAAATTCATGGAGAATGCAAAGGTATGTTGACATTTCACTCTACTACTATTGCTTAAAATTGCGCATAATGTTTTTACTGTAAGGTCCATGCTTGGATTGCTTTGCAATAGTCGCAATTTGATGGCCTGTATATTTCTATGTAATGTGTTTATATTTTTCGTTGAAGATTATTGTGTAAAGAAATCGCTGTAATTATTTCATCTATTCGTAAAAGGGACGTACGTTGTTGCGTCGACAATGGCCTACGGACAACTGACTTCGAAACCTTCCAACCAGATCGCACGGCGTGCCAACCCACCCGAGCCTTTTGATGGTTTCTTACGCTTCAGACTAGGAATGTATTACTAGTCTGAGGTTACGCAAATTCTGAGTTTAGGAAGACGTCACAATTGCTGGTGTAACGTGAATTATACACAGGGAAATGAAACACACAGAAAAGTTGTAATGAAACAAAAAAACATTGTCCATAGCACATCTCCCAGTGGACCACCAAGTTTCTGCAGAAAGATACTCTAGTAGGAACCGAGGCTGGAGTAGAAAAGTTTGTTGAACATGTAAAGCAAGTTAATCTGAATACGCAGTATAACAATCAATGTTCCACAATATTTTTTTTTTTTTTTTTTTTTTTATATATTACATAATTGTTTTGAACAGGTTGATTATTACGTCTTTCTTTTATGTAAATATGCAACTATGTAGTATCCACAATTTCTAATGTTTTCGAATTTTATTTCCATTTAACAACAATAGATGACACACAGACTTAAAAATACAAAAATCAAAGAATGGGGGAAGGTAGTATTGTAACATTATGTAACCTTATTATCTTATCTATATATCTACCCCCTTTTTTTAAATCCATGCCTAAGTAGAATGGAACTGCATTATGTAATAATAATGCATAATTTTATAAAAAACGTCAATTTTAAATCAGTTTTCAAAAAGCTTTTCTTCATAAAACACATTGTGTGAATAAATTCAGAAATTGATGAAAACAAATTAAAAATCGTAAACTTAAACAAAAAATAATCACATCTCAAATATATTTTTCCTATTTATAATTCTAATGGCTAATTGAAAAATATGTTAAAATATTTTTAATTTAATATCACAGGATGTCTATTTCAGAAGACATCATGGAAAATCTGCAATGTCATACACGTGCACGCTAGGCTGTGTGGGTAAACGGTAACTTAGTATACTAGTAACCATAGACCTTAGAAAGGTATATGGTGCATTTTTGATACATTTTATTGAAGACCGATAACTGAAAATACTTCGATTATTCTCTACTTTTAAATGATGTTAAGTAATATTGGATAAAATAAAAAACACTGAAAAAGCTTATGTTACAATTTATTTTACTCCCTGCCATGACGTCGACTTAATGGGTTGGCTGGTTCCCGCCTCAAGTGTCATGGCGTACCAAGCCACAAGAGGCCGGTAACTAGTAATGAACCCGGCATTCT